GTAATAGTAGTAGTAGTAGTAGTTGTTGTTGTGGCGGTGCCCGTAGGAGTAGTCCTAGTAGGAGCAGTGCGCAATAATAACAATGCAAAATAAAAGTGGGCCCCGCAGCGGAATCGGCGGCAGCCGCTTGAATTTGGCGGCGCCCGACGCGCCGCGCCGCGACCTCGCGGCGCTTCTTCTCCCGGCGGATGACGGTGGAGTGGGCGATCCCGCATCTCGCCATCTCGCGAAGGGCCCCGAGCGCGCGGGCGACGGTCGCCATCTCCTCGCTCACCCTCGCGCGCGCCAAGAAACGCAAGGGCGCGAGCGCCCCGAGCGGGCGAACGACCGCGACGAAGACGGGGCGAAGGAGAAGGAGGACGAGGCGCGGGTGAAGGAGAGGCGCTCTAGCGCCGGCACTTGCGGGGGCAGGCAGCAGCGCTGCTTGGAGTAGTTCTCGCAGCGCCGCCAAAGGGGCTGCCCGGAAAAGATCCGGGCGAGTTCGCGCGCCTTCTTCCTGCAGCGGCGGACCGCGCGGGCCATCTTGGAGAACAAACATGGGCGCAGCCAGCGCGCGGGCCGCAGGGGCGGGCTCCGCCGAGTCGCCCCCCGGCTCGGGAGAGGCCGCCTCGACGACGAAGACGGCGGGCGAGTCGAAGTTCCCCTCCTTCGAAAACTTCAGGAAGGTGTCGGGGCCCGTCGCGGGCGCCCCGCGCCAGGCCGGGAACGCCGCGCGGGGCGCGCGTTTCAGCGCCCGCGAGAAGAGGGGGGAGAGGAAAGAGGGAAGGAAGGAGGAGGGGGGGGAGAAGGAGGAAAAGGGGAGAAAGAGAGAGAGAGAGAGAGAGAGAGAGAAGACGGAAGGGGAGGGAGAGGAGAAAGGGAGAGAGCGGGAGGGGGGAGGGGGGAGGGCGCGTGGCCGCGAGGGAGAAGCAGGGCAAGGGGGAGAAGCGCACCCCCCCACGGAACGGCCCTGGCCCGGCTGAGAAGGCGACGCCCCGCGCCCGCCGAAGTGGCCCGGGAAGAAGTGGCACCGCCGAAAGAGAGGGCTCGAGCCAGAACGGCTATGATCGGACCGAACGCGCGGCAAAGGAACGGTCGGGGGAGTTCCCGGGCGCCCAACGCGCAATGTGCTTGCGAGCGTGGGACCCAAAAAGCGAATGCAAAAGCGCGCGTGTGCGCGTGTGCACCGGCAAATGCGGGTCACTTCATATCGTATGTGGGTACAATCCGTTCAAGATGGCTGTGATCCGTCAAAGATGGACCTGGCGCGCACAAGAACCGGGGAGCTTGAAGCGCGCGGCCCCTTCGTGAAACCAAAAGAAAATGTCGATGTTAAACAAAAAACGCGCGGGGGGATCTTGGATTGATAATGTCCATGCGTATGTATACACATATATGTATATATATGTATATATATATATGCATATGCATAAGTATATGTATATTTACATATATTTACACACATAAACATATATATATATATATCAAATACGCATGTCTATATTTACACATACATAATGTATGCATGCATATATATATACACTGATATGTATAGTCATATGAATATGCACTTCGGCGCCATAATGGCCGATCTGGCTTCCACGAAGCGCCTGGGCCCTCAGCGATTGCCCGGGCACCCTGCCGGCACGTGCCTGGATTGCAATTTGTCCGAGACCGCTCCAAAGGATCTCCTGGCGCCCCGAAAAGTCCCCGCCAGGATGCCCAAGACAACCATCGAAAGCAACAGTTGTTAATTCCACGAAGGGTTTGCGCATTTTCTGCAGTTGCTCCCTGATTTACGAAATCTCTGAACGGCCTCTGAAGGGCCAGGGCTTCGGCGGGCGCTTCGAAAGAGGCGAGTTCCTCGACGCGCGCGCAACGTGCACAAAACAAAGCGTAACGAACCAACGCTCGCTTCGACCCTTTTACGGGGGCGCCTCAGCTTCTTGGCAGGAATTTCACGAGGTTCGTTGGCTTGCGCAGCCGCGGCATGCCGAGCGACCGGATCGTCGTCGTCATCGCATTCCTTCTTCCTCGCCCTCCTCCTCCCGACCTCCCCCCCTTCTCCCTCTCTTTCTCTCTCTCTCTCTCTCTCTCTCTCTCTCTATATATATATATATTTCTCTCTCCCCCTCTATCTACGCGTCTTTCTTGTTGCGCTTTCTGTATTTCTGTCTCTCTTATTCTTTTTTTCAACGATTTCCTATCTCTCTCTCTCTCTCGCTGGCCTTTCTTCTTATCCTCGGCCTCGTCGTCGCCCTCCTCGCCCATCCCCCCCCCCACCCTCCCTCTGTCAACGTCTGCTCGCCCCTCTACTCGCCCCGGCGATTTCTGGCCCCGATAGACTGAGCGCGGACGCAGACCCCCCTATGGGGCGCGACGCGCACTCCGGAACGCTCACTGGAGGCCCGTTGGAGGCCCAGTGGGGTTCCCTGGCGGGCGCGATCCGCCCCCCCCCTGGAGCGCGATCCGCGTGGGGGCGGGGGGCGACGGTTTGCGCCTCCACACGCGGATTGTTTTCGTGCTGTCTGGGGCGGTGCCCGTGACGTCCTGCTGCGAGTGGATCCCCATCAGCCCCAGGCTGAACAATGGCTCGCAGCGCAAGCCACCCCAGCGCTAGTCGCCCTGCCTCCGCGCAGGCCGCTGCAAAACTCAGAATGGCACGAACATTGCGGCTGCAGTCTCGATTGGTGACGTCGGCCTTGCAGTCAACCTTGCACGTAACAGAATGCATCATCTTGGACGATTGGCCGCCGTGGCTGGAAGCCACCGAGGCGGGCATTTTGGTGTCGATGTCGTTGTAGGTGTAGACGGTCTGCCAAGAATTGCGTTGAATCCGAAGATCACCAATAACGAGCTTCTGGGCGTTCGCCGCCCATCGGCGCTCGTTACCTGCTACGGTCTTGCGCTGCTGGTGACCCCCGTCGACCTCCAACCGGTCACCACGAATCGTCTTGCTGATGTCGGTCTCCGTAGCAGTGCGCTTCTGATCCAGCGAAGTCGGGCTAGTCTCGTCATCGTCCACCACAAAGAAGATCGTCTGGTCGGTATCCTCGGAGGCGTCGCGCTGGTCGCGCAACTTCGGTAACCGTGCTGACGGCGCGGCTCGTCCTGCCCGCAGCTTCGGGCTCTTGTCGGCCCAGCCTGTCCCCGTCGCCGCTTGGTCGGCCCTGGGGGCGCCCATGTTCATGCTCTGCTGCGCGTCCTCCTCCATGGTTCCTGATCCGCCTGCTGCTGAGCCAGACGCCAGCGTCTCGTAGCCACACGGAAGCGGTTCCGTGGCGTTCCACCAGCGCATCATCGCATTGCGTCGCCATGATAGCACTAAAGAGGGGTCGTTCGTAAACCCAGCGTCGAGACGACTTGAACCGCAAAAATGCCACGCTTGGAATGACATGTGCGCCGAGAGCATGGCACCGGCGTTTTGGTAGAGGCAGCAAGCCTCATTAGCAAACCTGGCCTGGAAGTTCGGGTTTCCCGCGTTGTTCCGCACCCCGCCCGGCGAAGACAATGCCGTAGAGGCTTCCAAAACGGCCCCAAGAGGCCCAACTGGAACTCATTGCCTAAGACGCCTCCACGATGGCCCATGAAGGCCGAAGCTTCCACCGCGAGAACGCATCACATGAAACCCCTGGTTGTCACTGCTACTGCGTGCTTGATTGTCCCATCCTCCTCTCCTGATCACTCTCCCCTTTCTCGCCCTCCTCATCCTCGGTCGTCGTCCTCCTCTGTTGAAAGTGGGAGAGAAGCGCGGGGAGCGGCCTGCGCTCCCCGCAGCTTCTTTACAAGAGGAGGAATCGATGCACATGTGCACATATAGAGAGAGGAAAGACGGGGAGGCTGAATTGCAAATGTAACACATTGTAAAGAGCGCGTCAACATAAAACAAGCCACTGCACTATAAACCCCTGGGAGGCTTCTTGTGACCTGTCCGCGGTAGCCAGCATAAATGGGGCACGACGGCCTCGACGACATTTTGGGAGAAACATTGAAACATGACTGGATAGGGTATGCAGGAACCTTTGAAAAGAAAAAGCTGCATTCGATTGGACCCGAGTGGGAACATAACTGATTTCCCCCTTCCGCTGGTGGCGCAAATGGAAGGCACACCGTGGAGCGCCACCCAGCGGCTGCCGTTATGAGCGTGCTGATAATAGCGGGCCTTCCTTGTCTGAGCTGATGTCGCGCCGTACCGCTGGCCCCGATGGACTTCTCACTTTACCGTAGGAGAGGGGGACCTCAAAGCTCTATGAAGGTCAACGTAGTTATCATTACGCGCAATGCTGCTATGTGTATGTATGTGTATATGTGTATATCCCTCGAGCACAGAATGCTGCTACATACATACATGTATACATGCATACATGCATACATGCATACATACATACATGCATGCATGCATGCATGCATGCATGCATGCATGCATACATACATACATACATACAGATGTACACATCCTCGGACGAGGGGACGGGGGAGAGGGAACGAGGCGGAGAAAAACAGTCAACGGCCAAGCTGAGGATTCTTCCCGAGAGTCTGGAGGCGCCCCGAATCTGAACAAAACAACTATCAAATACACACCCTCGTTAAGTATACGTGTGTGCGTCCCCGAAGCAACAAACCTTCGTCAAGTACGTAGTATTCGCGTCCCCGAAGCCATAAACCTTCGCAGATTACGCTGTATTCGCATTGCCGAGGCCAAGAGTGCTCCAAGGCGCCCGAAGATGGTTCCAAGACGGCCCACGAGGGCCCCCAAGAGGCCCCAAGAGCTCTCCCGGAGGCCTCCAGAGAGAGCCCCACGAGGCCCAAATCGCTGATTCAACGTCAGTGGTTGACGAAGTTTAGTCTTCTCGAATGTTGGGCTTTACGACGCTCCAAGACGGCTCAAGAAGCTCCCAAGCCCCAAGACGGCCCAAGAGGGCTCCAAGATGGCCCAAGAAGCGCTCAAGACGGCCCAAGAGGGCCCCCCAGACTGCCCTAAGGGGGGGCCAAGCAGTGGACCACGAACCGAAAATTCAATTTGTGCCCCGAGATACCCCAGGAGGCCCCAAGAGGCCGCCAAGAGGCCCCAAGAGGCGCCCAAGACGCGCCCACGAGGCCTCCACGAGACCCAAAAAGATACCCCACGAAGAGGCTCCCAAGAGGCTCCCAAGAAGCGCCATACCCATCCAAGCCCCCGAGAGGCTCCCCACGACACCCCAACACATATACAAGAGGCTCGGGATGGGCCGAAGGCCACCAGGATAACGCCAACGTCTCAATATGAGCTGATGATTCCTATCCGCACCTGCATGATGTTCCCAGATGCGCCAGGGTAGCGCCGAGACGCACCGACGCGACTCTGATATATTATATTTTGATAGAGAGAGGGCGGGTGGCAGAGGGCGAAGCCCTTACGGATAATGTAGAAAGGATGGCAACTGTTCAAAGGTCCACTGGTGCAGCGTGCCCGCTGTCCGCGACTGTTCCAGTAATTGCGCAGTGCACGTGCCTAGGGACGAAGCGAGCCAAGCTGCGGTCGCCAGCCAAAACGGCGGGGGGGCAGCAGAAGTAGAGCCTGACAAGAAGCAGTGATACCTCGAGGGCCGCTGTCGTTGGCTGTCGGCACGGCAAGGCAGCCTTGCCACCCCCGCTTGCTGGCGCGCGACCAAGCGCACCTGGTGGACGAGCACGGGACCGATCTGGCCTGCGGCGCCCTCTGCCATCGATAGGGCGCATAGCTGTCCGTGGCGTTGAACAAAACAACGGAGCGGCAGCTCCGCAGCAATTTGGGTTGCCGCGACGACGTGGCGGGCTAAGCCCGCCCTGCGCAGTGCTGTACAGGGTGCTGCCGGGGAGGAGCAGGGCAGCCCCCTGAGGGCCAGCGGGTCCTCCACGGCTGCGGCTGGCACTCGGCGCAGCACGAGGAGGAGGAGGAGGAAGACTAGAAGAATAATACGTCGCTGCGTCTATGCTCGAGACATCCTCTGCACCGTTGTCCAAGCCACCATGTAGGCAAACCGCCTGAAACATCCCCACGGTCTGCCCGCGAACGGGCCCGTGCAAACAATCTGGCGGCTCCCCCATTCGGAGTGCTGATGCCAGCGCCTTGCTTGAGAGGTATTCACACCCTGCTCTAAAAAGCACCGAAGTCCAAGCCACCAAACCAGCAAACGGCTTGAGACAACACCACAATCTGGCCGCGAACGGGCCCTTGCAAACACCCTGGTGGCTCTCCCGTGGGGGTGCTGAAACCAGCGCGTCGCCCGAGAAGTCCTCACAACCTGCTCTAAAACAACCGACGCCTAAGCCACCAAACAGGCAAACCGCCTGAGACATCCCCACCATCTGGCCGCAAATTGGCCCGTGTAAACACCTGACGTCTCCCCCCTCGGAGTGCTGAAACCATCGCGTCGCTCGAGACATCCTCACAATGTACTCGGACATGAATACGAGTGAACCTAAGTACGTATAGTCTGAGTGCGAATGCGTATGGATGCCAACGAATGTGAATATGAATCAGAGGACCCCATCGTAGGAGCAGTGTAAGTGAATATGGGTGTCACTTGTGAAAGTGAATCAGAGTGCGAGTGAGTCTGAGCGCGGTTGAATATGAGGTCTGGGTGCGAGTGGGTCAGAAGGCAGGTGAGTCTGGGTGTGAGTGAGCCAGGGTGTGACTGAGTCGTGGTGCGAGTGAGCCTCCAAATAAATGAATCTGGATGAGGAAAATAAAAGAAGGAGGAGTGAAGGAATGAGCCAGAGGCGACCGAGTAAGAACAAATATCCCATCTTACGATGTGGGGAAGAACCGCTCGACGCGGATATCCCCCCACACGTGCATCTCATTCCCTGGCACGTCCCGCCGTCAGCGTCTGGGCGTGAACGCCTGGGTGCGAGGGCGAGTCCGAAAGGACGCCGATTGCAACGCCGACGACGGCGGCTGCAGCTACGGTGAGGGACAGTGGCGACAACTCACGTTCGGACAGACGGTGAGCAGGCCCCCTCCCCTCTCCTTACTTCTACTGGTCGTCGTACCCCCTCCCTTCTATTGCTTCCTCCCTTCTCCCTCTCCCTGCGTCCTCCTCCTTCCTCCGCCGTCCTCCCTCTTCCGTCCTGGCGGCCGTCTTTCCCCTACATCGAAGCCATCATTGGGGTGTGAAGTCGCAGCAACTGCAGATGCAAAACTGAGCGTCTCGCCCGATATTCTCCGACGATCTGGGCGACTGGGGTGCTGAAACCAGCGCCTCGCCCGGGACATTCTCACAATCTGCTCTGAAAGCCCCGAAGCCCAAGAATCCCAACAGGCAATCCGCATGAGGCATCCCCACAATCTGGCCACGAAAACACACTGGCGGCTCCTCCTCTGGGTGCTGAAGCCAGCGCCTCGCTCGAGAAGTCCTCACAATCTGCCCGGGAAGCGCCGGTCCAAGCCACCAAGCAGGCAAAACGCCTGAGACATCCCCACAGCCTGCCCGCGAACCGGCCGTGCATAAACCCCGGCGGCTCCTCCTTGGGGTGCTGAGAACAGCGCCTCGCCCGGACATCCTCATAATCTGGTCTGAAAAACAAAGAAATGCAAGCAAGCCGCCAAACAGGCAAACCGCCTGAAATATCCCCACAATCTGGTCGCGAACGGGCCCGTGAGACAACCCCCTGGCGGCAGCTAACCCTTGGGGTGCTGAAAACAGCGCCTCGCCCGAGACATCCTCACAATCTGCTCTGAAAGCATTGATTTCAAGCCACCAGACAGGCAGCCCGCCTGAGACATCCCCACAATTTGGTCGCGAACGGGCTCCTGAAAACACACTGGCGGCTCCCCCCTCTGGTTGCTGAAGCCAGCGCCTCGCTCGAGGCATTGTCAAAATCTGCTCTGAAAGCGCCGAAGCCCAAGCCACCAAGCCAGCAACGCGCCTGAGACATCCCCCATCCCCACGATCTGCCCGCGAACGGACCCGTGCAAAAACCCTGGCGGCTCCCCCTTGGGGTGCTGAAGCTAGCGCTTGGCTCAGGCGATTCTCACAAGCCGCTCAGAAAGTAAGGAACCCAAACCCCTAAGGCAACGGGCCTGAGGCATCCCCACAATCTGGCCGCGAATTGGCCCGTGAGACAACCCCCTGGCGGCTCCCCCTCGGGGTGCTGAATACAAGAAGACAACGCCTCGCTCGAGACGTCCTTACCACCTGCTCTGAAAACACCGATGTCCAAACAACTAAACAAACAAACCGCCTGAGAGATCCCCGAAATCTGGGCGCGAACGGTTACGCGAGACAACCCCTTGGCGGTTTCCCCCTCGGAGAGCTCGCCCAAGACATCCTCACAGTCTGCGCTGAATGCAAAGACGTCCAAGCCACCAAGCAAGCAACCCACCTGAGACATGACCACGATCTGAGCGCGGACGGGCCCGTGAGACAACCCCCTGGCGGCTCCCCCTTTGGGGTGCTGAAACATTGCCGCGCTCGAGGCATCCGCACACTCTGCTCTGAGAACAAAGAAGTGCAAACCAAAAACCATGCAAACGGCCTGAGAACCCCCCACAACCTGGCCGCGAACGGGCCCGTGAGACACCTCTTCCTTGGGTTGCTGAAGCCAGCGCTTCGCTCGGGACATCCTCTCAGTCGGCTCTGACAACAAAGAAATGCAAACCACAAAACATGCAAAACGCCTGAGAACCCCCCGCAATCGGGCCGCGAACGGGCCCGTGAAACAACCCCCTGGCGGAGGCTACCCCTTGCGGTGCTGAAGCCAGCGCTTCGCTCGGGACATACTCACAATCTGCCCTGAAAGCAAAGAAGTGCAAGCCACAAAACATGCACGCTGCCTAAGACATCACCACAATCTAGGTGCGAACGGGCCCGTGAGGCAGCCCCTTGGCGGCTTCCGCTTTGGATGCTGAAGCCAGCGCCTCGCTGCGGACATCCTCACAATCTGCGATGAAAGCAAAGAAGTCCCAGCCACGAAACGAGCAAACCGCCTGAGACATCCCCAAAATCAAGGCGCGAACAAGCGAATGTAATGCCCCCTGGCGCCCCCGCCTGGCGAGTTAGACTGGATGCAGGTGAGTCTGAGTATGAATGAATCTGATCACGACGCCACGTGTAGTGTCCGGATGAATGAGTCTGAGGTATGAATGACCAGCGTGAGTCTGAATCTGAGTCTGAGTGTGAGTGCCGGTGAGTCTGAGAATGCGTGGTCGGAGTGTGAACTGAAAGTTCTGACTGTGTGAAAACCTGAGTCTGATTGAGTCTGAGTGTGAGTGAGTCGGAGTCGGTGTGATCTGACTGCTAGTGAGTCATGTGAACGATGAGAAGGAGAAGGAGGCAGCAGTGAGTGAGGAGGCGGGGGCATCCAAGTGATAGCAATAAACCCATACTCAGAACATGGTGGGATAACAGAGAAGGGGACACTTGCATATATGCATATACATGTGTATATATACACATATGGATACACATATTGTATACACGTGTACGTATAGTAGAGGGAGATGGCGCGGGACAGAGAGAGAGAGAGACAGAGAGAACGACGAGGGAGAGAGCGACGGATGGATGATAAGTGTGGGAGGGGAGATCGCGGGACTACGCCGGTGGAGCGGGCAGACGAGGGGCAATGAGAAGAACGTCTGAGACAGGAACAGGGCGAAGCCTCCTTCGGCCTGCCCACTGCCCTGGCCTCGCTCTCACTCGCGAACCACACGACGCCGTCGGACATCAGATGATACGGAGAATCGCAAGACTTCATCCTCCGAACTTTCTTCTCGCCTTCCCCTCCTCCTCCCCCTCCTCCTGCATACTCTTGCCTCTCCCCCTCCTCCTCCTCCTCCTCCAATTCCTCCTCCTCATTGAAGCTTGGAGCTGCGAGCATCGGTAATCACATTACCCTCCTCCACACTCCTCCCTCCTCCCTCCTCAACCCTCCTCCACCCTCGTCCTCCTCGGCCTTTTCCTCCCCCTCCTCCTCCTCCTCCTCCTCCTCCAACCTCCTCCTCCTCCTCCCTCCTCCTCCTCCTCCACCCTCCACCCTCCACCCTCCACCCTCCACCCTCCACCCTCAACCCTCCACCCTCCTCCTCCTCCTCCTCCTCCTCCTCCTCCAACTCCTCCTCCTCCTCACCATCACTGGTCAGGAGGAGGAGGAGGAGGAGGAGGAGGAGGAGGAGGAGGAGGGGGAGAAGGAGGAAGAGGAGGAGGAGGATCATGCCCAACTGGTGCCCCGCCCCTGCCTTCCGCACACACACACACACACATACACACACACGCCTTTTCCTGGTCCCCGCGTGCTCCTCCTGCCCGCCGCCCCGCCCCCCCCCGGGCGAGGCCTCGACACCCGCGTGGTAGACGCCGCCCCCCAGCATCCTTTGGGCAGGGCAGGCGAAAGCTTCTTTGAAGGAGGCTACTTCTTAGAAGGCGCCGGCCTGACATCTATAGACGCGGCCCGCGCCTTCTAAGAAGCAGGGGTGCTTCTAAGAAGCCCTCCCCCCTCCCCCTCCCCCCCCCTCTGCGAGTGGCCGAATTATGGCCGTATGCCGCACGCTCGCGCTGTGCTGACACCGCATGGGTCGCTCAAAACTGAACGATCGCAGGTCTCCGATCGATAGCGCACGTCGCTCGATATCGGCCGATTCTGGGCCACCAGCAGCGTTCGACCTTGAAAGCCCGCGCTGAGGTCGCCCCCCCCCCATGCGCGCGGCTGGATCCTGCTGAGGTTGTTGGTCCTCTTCAGGGCCGAGGAGGCGCCGAGGTCGTACGTCGGCTGCGCGCAAGAGCGACCCCCTGGCGAGGGGTGCCTCTGGTGCGCGGCTGCCGATGAGTGCGCGCGGTGCGGCGGTGGCAGCCTGCGTCCTTGGGCGTGGCCTTCCCCGAGTAGGGGAGGTACGCCACGAAGCTGGATACGCAGACACCCTCCGACGAACTTTGCATGTACCTTCATGGAGGGTGGCGGTGTATAAAGTTGCTGGCTCCCAGTGGTGATTTATACACCTCCCCCCTCCTCAGACGCCCAGGAACAATCCATTGGAGGGTGTATCTATATTTGTGGCGGAGGGGGGTGCAAACCATGACATACACAATCATTTTCGGAGGGTCCAAGCGAATGTCTCGGATGGGCGCTGGGGCCCTCTGGCGCCTCCGGCGCCGCCCCTGGCGCGCTCTGCGCGCAAGGGAGGGTGCTCCAACGCCGATCCGAGAAACCCGCGCGAAACTTGGAAAATCTTTCTTTCTCTCTCGTTCTCTCTCTTTCTCTCTCTCTCTCTCTCCCTCTCTCTCTCTCTCTATATATATGTCATTGTTTGTTCCCCGACCTTCAGCCCCCCGAAAGCCCCGCGCCAAAGAGGTCACTCTGGCGAAGGGTCACCCCGCTTTCGGGCCACATCCCTGGGTCTCCGGCGGCCATTCAGGACGGTTCGGGCACCCCCAGCGCGCTCTCGGCAAGACGCAGCTGCTGGATCGCGTACCGAGGCAGGAAAAACCTCTAGGAACTGACTAAAACGTTCGGCCACGCACCAAATGTGAGGACAACACAACCCACCCCCACCCCCAGACAGGACCCCCACTCCCGACTTGGTGATCCAGGGGTTCCTGGCTGTGGGTGAGAGTGGCTTTTTGACCCCAAGAGTACCCAACAAGCTAACCCCCGCCCCCAGCCAGGACCTCCAGAATCACCAGGTCTGGAGTGGGGTCCTCGCTGAAAGTGGGGGTGTGTAGTGCTGTTCTCAAAATTCCACTGTGGCGAAGGGCCATTCTTACGCGTAGCCGAGTATACGTTCGCCAACACGCAGCTCCCAGGCAGGCGGGCCACGTTCAGGTCCCTGCCCTGCGGGTGCCCAGGGGTGGCGCCGTGGTCGAGAGGGCGCGCTGCTGCGAGGGAGGACAAGAACGTGGAGGGAAGACGGGGGGGGAGAGGCGGAGGGAGGGAGGAGGATTGGCCGATGAAGGCGCGCGATGCGGGTCATCAAATCATGCACGAGAAAATTGGCACCGGCTGGCTACCGTTGGCTGACTGGCTGGGCATCGGGTGAGGCGTCGGATGATGCGTAGGGTAGGGCGTAGGGTACCCGCAACTACCAGAAGCAAGGGCGATACCGAACAGCACGTGTTGTTGGGCAGGCGGCTTCGACCCAAGCGGACAACATCCGCGGTGGCCCCAGCAACGGGTCCTGCTCAAACCAGGCAGCAAATGGTGTCGGTAGATCGTCTCCAATGTGGACGCCGGGTAAAAAAAACAAATCATACACAATGTTGGTTCTTCAATCCATATTTTTGCGGGTCCGCTTCAGGCCTCTGGATCGCACAAACCGTTCCGGGACGAAGCATCGGCCAGGACGGCCCCGTGGAGAGGTCTCGGGAGTGGTTTTGAACGGATTTCGGACAACGATGACGGGGACGAGAGGAGGATGGAGCGAAGGAGAAGCAGGACGCCCCAGCACAGTCCACGGACGACCGCCGAGAGGCGAGGCGAACGGCGCTGGGCAACCCCTCCCTGGCGCGCGGAGCACGCCAGGGGCGGCGCCAGAGGCGCCGCCAGGGGGCCCAATCGCCGATCAAAGACACCCGCGCGGAGCTCCGAAACTTGGTGTTTGTGCATGGTTGTTCTTCTTCCACTTGTGGCCTTCGTGCGCTCTTGACGCTCTCCACTCGTCAGCTCGGGGAAGGTGTCCATAAACAGCCTCGTCTACTGCCGTGCCTTCTTTTGGGTGGCCTGAGGCCAATGGCCCCCGATGTGCGTTCCCATCTGGGCTTTTGGATTTAAACGCAAGAACTCCCGACTAGGCTCGCACACAAGGCGTACCGCGGCCGCCAGACCCCAAATGTGATGGCGTTCCTTGGGGATCCCGCCTGGCGTTCTTTGGCCCGGCGGGCATCGGTCGAGTCAACATTATTGTATGATTTGTCCTATATGTGTTGTGGTTGATGCGTTCCTAAGCCTTGCAGGCTGACCTCGTGATCCCCTGGTCCACGATTCCACCTGACTGGTGATCCCCCCTCCCCGTAGGACCAACTTTTCGTCGTGAATCGTTTTTACGGTCTTCGGCCTGACGAGGACCCCCGGAGGCCGAAAACTGCAAGTACGTTTGCGTAGAGGGGTGTCGGGGGGGGCGAGGCCCAGCAGGAAATCTGGACATCACGCAAATCTGGACTCACTTGCACGCCCGTCTGGCCGGACGCTGTTTAAAATGGCGGCGGAAAGGGGGGGGGAGGCCACGCAAGTGAACTTGCGAAAACCTAAATTTGCCAACGTGCGCGCCAAACAGAAATGTTACACTGTGAATGTGCAAGCAATGTAATGTGATCAACGTTGCAGAACTTGAAGTCGTCACATTCAGTGCTCGCGTAATCACCCAACCGTCCCACCCGCAGCTTGTTTTGGTTGTACGCAACCCATGCGGCCGCGATTGCGGTGTCTACTGGGTAATAATTGGCGCACCTTTGCGGCTGCACAAACGCGCGCAATCTCGCACGCCGAGCGGCCAACTGGCTTGACACGACCGACGCGGCCGCGATGGCGCTTACCGATGGGTGCTCCCCACCGCGTCTCAAAGGCCGCGCTGGCGCGCGGGCTCTTCAGTGCGGGTCGGTGACTTGGGCGGGCGCGCTATCATGATGACGTCGACAATGGCAGCAAGGATGACGATGGTAACGATCGTGGTGGTGACGATGACGATAACGATGGAAAGGCCACTGACAGCGCCCATGCTGGTGGCGACGACGGCGGTGATGAGGCCCATGTGCCGGTGATGCAAATAATTGGATACTGATGGCGGCACTGGCGGTAACTGGCGATGCCGATGCCGGCGGAAATGTGGCGGCGCTGATGAGGGTGATGGTGAGGAAGTGCGAGTGCGCGTAGATGCAAGAAACATGGGGTAGACGTTTGATTAAAACGCAGTGTTCCCAAAGGTACGTGTACCGCTATAACATGTGGTGCATCGAAACCAACTGTGAGGGACAAATTTCGACACGCGCGCGTGCCCCAAAAGGTATTAGTTCGTACGTATTCGTGCATTGGGCGCATGCTGGATCAACGCAAATGCACCGCGTTCTGAAATTTGAAGATGGGTGTTGGGCAAAAGCGCTAAAATCATATGGCTTTCCTACGACCCCAGCGGATGCATGCAGGCAGAAAATTTACATCATGTGTGATGAAAAGCGAGAGAGTTTGTGATGTTTCGTGTATCCAAACTTTGCAATGCCTCTGTGAGTTGGTGTGGTATCAGCATATGCGCTCGCGCGCGTGGACGTTGCGCACTGTTGTTGCAAGGGGTTCATTGGACAAATATACTTTCAGATAGACCAGTGCGCGCGCATGGCATGATTGTAAACGGCTGAAATGGGCATCAATACCGGCGTGGCTCTGGCGGTATGGATTCAAATTGGAAATGACCTATGGGGCACAGGCTTGCAAATTACAATGTCATTGGGGGGCGTCTAAAACTTTGGGGAGAAATGAATTGCGGCAATCTGCGCGGCGGCATCCTCTTCGCAGATTTTGAAGCCGTGAACTGCACAACTCGCGAAAACATCTCACCCACTCGCCCGCGCCTTATTTTGCGCGCCCTATGCAGCCGCCGTTGCGGCGACTACTCGGCGCTGGTCGGCGCATCTCTGCGTCTGTCATGGCAGGCGCAGGCTCGCGCGCAGAGCGGCCTGCTGGTTTGGCACGACCGACGCGGCCGCGACGACGTTTACCCCCAAGGCGTCTCCAAGACCGCGCTGGTGCGCGGGCGCTTCAACGCGGGTCGTCGATGGCTCGGGCGGGCGCGGTAGCATGATGACACCGACAACGGCTGCAGCGGTAATGGTAGCCGCGCTGGTGGTGGTGGCGATGATGACGATGACGGCGGCCAAGCTACTGACGGCGCCACTGCTGGTGACGACGATGACGACGATGATGCCCGTGTGTCCGCAGTGGGGGCGATTGGCTGAGGACGGCGGCAATGGCGGCGAGTTGCGGCGGCGCTGACGGGGGCGACGGCGAGGAAGTGTGCGCGAGCGGGAATGCAAGGAAACTGGCAGCCTGTTTGTTGAGAAGAGAATGGCGGGGATCTGTGTTTGAAAAACTCGATCTTGACATGATCCGCGAACCAATGGTCAGGGAAGGATTGCGACACTCGCGTGGCGACGCGCGCGCGCGCGCGTGGCCCGCATGGCGCACCCTTGGAACGGGGTCGCACACTGGGCGCATGTAGGAACAACACGGGTGCACCGCGGTGAGATACGACAGCTAACACCAGACGGTTGTCATTTGACTTCATCAAATGCGCGCGACCAAAAATGACTGCGCGATTTGCAGTGGAAAAACTGATGTGTTGTTGTTGCTGCGCGGTGGTATGATTACACGGTTATTGTGCTGCGTTGCTAATGGGTGGCTGCTGGTTTGTTTGGTATGCTTTCAACGTGGGCCCGCGCGCGTGAACTGTGCGTATTGCTTCTGGCGAAATTTGCAGTGTTCTGCATCTGCGATGAAGCGACTGCGCGCGCGGTATGATTTGAGAAGGATGAGAGGGGAGGAGCGACGTTTCAGAATCACACGTTAACTGCGCCGTCCCACAAAGGATCGACAACCCCACGGGGGAATGGTGGTAGAATCGATCCTGCCTTTGAGCGGAATGCGTATGTATGTATGTATGTATGTCTGTCTGTCTGTCTGTCTGTCTGTCTGTATGTATGTATGTATGTATGTATGTATGTATGTATGTATGTATGTATGTATGTATGTATGTATGTATATATGTACACTAGAACCACGCGCGCGATTCGCGCGCTTAGGTGCTAACAGCGCCCGTGGAACTCGCATCGACCCCTGCAGAACGTATAAATGCATGCATATGTGTATGTGTGTGCATGTGTGTAGGGTGCATTTGGTCAAACCTGGCGCCTCGCTTGGTCTGGAACGGGCTGCTTTGGGTCCTCTGGGCCGTCCTGGGGGGCCCTTCGGATTTTGTTTGGCCGTCTTGAAAAGTTTTGTCGGGGCTCTCGGGCTGTCTTGGAACGTTGAAACTCGAAAGAGAGTCGAGAATTCGAACATATTCGGGAAACCAGCGGGCAAAAACTAATTGTTTCCTGTTGCTGGTCCTTTGGCAACCGGTCTTGTCCTGTCTTAGAGGCTCGCGAACCGTCTCGAGGTCGCCCCGTGCGTCTCGGGGCACTCTTGGACCTCCTCGGCAGCTTCTCGCCGTCCCCGCGGGCGATGGGGAATGCGTCGGGGGGCGTGGGAATTTCCCAGAGGCCAGCCAAACGCCCGCTGCCCCCCGCGGCCCGAGAGGGCATTCGGGGGGAGGGGAAATTCGGGGGGGCGCGCCAGCCCCAGGCCCAGGCCCCAGGCACCCCAACATACGATATCAAACGCGCAACGCAATCGAATCGAAGACAGCCGAAGACCACCGAAGAGCGCCCTCGCCGCCGTGACACGCAACGTTCGGGAACCAACAAGGGCAAACGTGTTGTCTGAACGCAAGCCAGCCACTGGGCACGCAGTTCTGAACCCAACGCGCGTGCATTGAATGCACGGGTCTTTCGTTTTGAATTGCTCGATGCATTTCAATGTTCGCTTTCCTGCGACGCGCTCCGTCGGTCCCATCTTCGCCGCCCCCTTCCGCCCCCCAACCAAGGTCGTCGAGGGATGGGGGATAGATTGATGGGGGAATGGAAGGAACGGGCGAGGTTCGATGACCACAGAATTTCTTGATGATCACGCGCAGATGCGCCTGCGTCGATTATGGCATCGGCCACGCGGCCGGGGCAACGAAAGTAAGCTGCGCTTTGTTGGCCCATTTTGGCTGCAGGGCGGCTTTGGAGAAATCGCTGCGCCCTTGG